TTTTTAATATTATAAATTTTTTATATTGTATATTTATATATTTCAATTTTCTCTTGTCAAGTACATTATTATATGTGAGAAATCATATACTATTATTTCATTCTCAGATTTGGTAAAAGTCTAGAAGTGCCATTCCAACAAAAACTCAGGTTTTTTAAATAGTAACTAACAAAATTATTATGAAATAAAATTATTATAAAAATAAAATGAATTAAGTGGGAAAATTGGCAGATAAGAGCTCATCGGTATCGGTGTGCGAACTTATTATTATTAAATTTAATTAACTAATATGCATCAAAAATGTACGTTTCGGACTGTTTTTTGGTCCATCTTCAGCATGAATATAAATCATTGACATCTGAATATATAGCCGGAGCATTATCTAGCGATTAAAACGAGAGGGGGCCTGATGTTCGCGGTAAGAGGGTAAGGTTATATAAAAGAAGGTTAAGTCATGAGCCCCAACGCCCCAACTATTCATAATGCTATGCAAAGAATCGATGTGTGAGCCAATAACAGTCTACCTTATTACCTAGGCTAAGTTCCAAAACGGTGTAAAATTTCCTCTCCGAGGGAAATTTTACTCGATGGTCAGTCTGGAACCAATTAGAGACGCTCAAAAAAATTTTGGAACGGCCATCGGAGTAAAATTTTCCTCGAAGAGTACGTTTTGGAACATAGCCCTAGCATCTCTTTTCAATAGTGACTGCTCACCACTGATCTATATATCTGGATTGCCGATCGCCTTTGTTCTTAGGACTTAAAAGCGTCTCCAAATGGACACCGCCATCTTATCCGACAATTTGCCTCCGAGCGTGGGAAATTCAAATGAGTTTGACTAAAACGACGGTCTATGTAAGACTGTAACTGAAACTTACGTTTACGTAACATTTTTGCTGTTATTAATTTAAAAAATCAGGATTAAACAATGAAACAGATCATAAAATAGACCAAAATGTTACAAGATTTTATGTTTAATAAGACAATAATTCTTTATTCATTCAATAAAGGTTCCTATCATACGTTTTAATTGCGATAATACAATCAACTTGTCATGATTCGAGGAATTTTTGATTATTTTTTA